TTCAAACATTATAACAGAAAAACCATCAGCAGCCTTAGCATGGACACTCAAAAAATACAAAAGCTCCAGCTTCATGACCTGTAACCTAGAAAAAAGGCAGAGCGATAAACAGAGCAGAAATTGCTGGTGTTGAAAGAGAGCTGTATACAGTAAACAAAGAGGAAATTATGTAGATTCCAAGTTCCCCACATATCAAGATTTCCATAAAAGGAGCATCATCATCATCATCAAGGTTAATCAGCATTTTAGAGTAGTACATATCCCTATAGTATGTATAGGTCTCGCCAGCCCCTGATTTGTGTATATGTTATTGTGCATTATCTCTTTTGCTGCCTGCAAGGGAGATAAATAGAATTTTTCAGATTTGACTATAAGTGAATATGTTTAACTCTGTTAAATTCATGTCACCCAAGTTGGGTAGCCCCATCTTGTGGTGTATGGCCAATCTTAGGAGCGCTGCCAAATGGCAAGTTAGAAAAAGTGACATGCCTTTCATACCTGGCACTAAACCATTACAGACTTGGCTCCTAATGAAAGCCAACATAAAGCATACTGGTGGAAGACTATCTTCAAGATAGCACTTCCATACAGAGCACAAACAAAAGTACATAATGAAGTAAAAAGAAACACTGATATGTCAAAATGAAGGCAATGCAAATACAATCTGGAAGGGCAAGTTAAAAGCCAAAAACAAAAGAACTTCTATAAGGTAATACTACTAATGATTATGTTATCGCAATATCAACTTTACAGCGGGATTACTCTTGTGCTCACAACTGATTAGAACATAACTAAATGCTATAAATCATACTTTTATAACACAATAAAAAATATGGTATGTAAGCAGGTAAAATAAAAGGGCAAAATGTGGGTTCAATGTAAAATATACAACTATTTATTTTACCATAACCTAGAAAAAGTGTGTCACATTGGAACAGGAAAGAATTAGGTGACAGGTAACAGAAGAATATCTTAAAATGCACTGTGAATAAAACAGGAGCACTGGAACATACAACTTCATTTTTGGTATACAAGAAGTATCCCTGGCTATTCTTTGGATCAACTGAACTACTGGCAGTTTCTTGTCCCAGTTTTATTAGCAGTACACAGACTGCCATACCCAGAGGTTGGCAACGGCTGGGGCTTCCATGACACTAGAAGTGACGCACAGATATGTTCATTTCAAGGTGCATTTACTATATTAGGGCATGTGAGTGTATAGCAGTGTAGGTCCTTCTTGGGAAAAGGGTTGATGCTCACACTGAAAAACTGATTTTGGGCCTCTTCTAAACTAGCATGTATATGGGACAAACTTCCCTGTGGATAGATAGACAAGATAGACAAGATAGACAAGATAGACAAGATAGACAAGATAGACAAGATAGACAAGATAGACAAGATAGACAAGATAGACACACACACACACACGGCTGAATTGTGAGTATTTCTCTACTTTCTATATGCGTGCTCTTCAGCCTTTAGCCATTGTATCACTATTGTTTGAATGAGTCTTCTAATTCTTTCTAACCCATGGCAGTCCATGTTTTACATATTGTATTTACTTATTGTACGGTTGAGCCTGGATGTGGACAATAAAGTGACACTAAATTCAGGTGTTAAATCTTTAAAATGCATTCAAGTACATTAACTAGGAATGCACCAATCCTAATATTGATGCCAATACCGATATTTTGGGGTGAGTACTCGACTTCCTGATTGGCTAGGAAGCCAGCTTCACTTGTTGGTAGGCGGCCTGGCTTCCTAACCAATCAGGAAGGCGGGTGGCACGTCATAACTTGCGTCCTGGCTTCCCGATTGGTCAGGAAGCCAGGCTGCCCAGCAACAAGTGACGCCAGCTTCCTAGCCAATCAGTAAGCTGGGAGGCGGGTCATGATGTCAATTTCCCGGTTGGCTAGGAAGCCGGCTTCACTTGTTGCTAGGCAGCCTGGCTTCCTGACCAATGAGGAAGCCGGACAGCACCTCATGACTCGCCGCCCACCAGGCAGCCTCGCCAACTGAAGCCGATGTTCTTTCGCTAGAACACCAGCTTCACAAGCAATCAGGAAGCCGAGCGACAGTTCATGATCCACCGCCCGCTTTCCTGATAATCAGGGCACACGGCACAAGTACCCGGTATCTGAGAGTACAGGAAAAAAATAATCGGTACTCGATACCCAAAAACCGGTATCGGTGAATCCCTAACCTTAACTATTAACAAAAATGTATTCTATTTGTGTATTACTCAGCTGTCCTCAAATCATCTCTGAATTCATACTAACACTGCCCATCCGTCTGGAGGGTGGCTACTTTTGTTTCCCATGGTTCCTGTGTGTTGTAGACACCGCTCCAAGCTCACTTCCATGATGGGCTACAATCTCATGTTTAGTTAGCCAATTTGTATTGAAAATATAGTCTATTACGGGACACACAAAGCAGCTATATTTATGTTAATAGTTAAAGGAGAACTATGAAGCGAGTGATTTTCACTCATCCTCATCGTTAGAGCCAACGTGAGACAATGAAACAGTCACACCTCGGCTCTATTGATCAGGAAGTGAGCGAACACATACAGTCACTCGCTCACTCCCTGATCATCTCCCTGCAGAGAGCGGTGACAGTCAGTCACCACACCCTGCAGGGATTCAATTCCCCCCCTCCCCCACGATCCTGCAGCGCTGACTGGAGGAATGGACGGGGGAGGGTGCAGGCACAGCTGGCTCTGCCTCTAGGTAGGCAGAGCCTGCTGTCAATCAGACCAGCAGGGTGGATATTGACAGTATTGTCGAAATCCATCACGGATGCGGCATTTTTAAGTATATAGCGAACTACAGCTCACTATATACTGAGCTTTGGATCACGTGAAGATGTTAGTATATGTTGACCCTAAAGAGAACTATGGGATAAAAAGGTTACCCCATAGTTCTCTTTTAAAAGGTACTTGAATGTATTCTTAAGGTTTAACTCCGGAGTTTAGTGTCACTTTAATATAGTATCTGAAACCCAAAAACTGCTTTGGTGTGCTTATTCAGTATGTATTATTTAGATCGTAGTCAGGGACAGGTAAGAAGTATTAGCCAACAATGAGGGGCAGATAGTCGGTCGGGGGCAAAGGAAAGTATAAGTTAATGGTCACTATAACCAGAGCAAACTTTTCAAACATGCTTGAACACAGATGTTGCCGACACAAATGACTTTCACTGATAACCGTTAAAATATTGCTTGTATCCAAGCCATTTATTCATGTATCGCTGCACAAGCCAGGTATTACCTTTACTAGAAGCAGATTTATTCAAAAAAGTTACTCAAAGGGCAACTTTAAGGCCCTGAGTCTGTTGGAGCCACATCAGCTAAAATATGATTTCTGAGCAGCTGTTACTGGTTGCTACTTTTTGCATTACCTTGCTGAATAAATGTCTCCATTTACCCACAACCCCATTACACTGCTTCATCTGTACTGGAAGGTTCTACATAAGGTATAACCAGGAACTGGCTCTTCTTACCGCTCCAGTGATGGTCCCTCACAGGAATGCTTTACTTTCATGTCAAGCACAATGCCATTTTATAGGTGCCCAATAGTTAACTCATTCTGACCATAATGGACCCAGCTACATTAGGTATTTGGGTTACATCACCATGCTATCTAATGGCTGACATTGATGGTAAAACCTCACCCTCCGATGTATACACCACCAGTTTGGGACTGGCACACAAGACCACACATATGAAGCACATTCTGTGGTTAGGATCCAATTCCACATTTCTATGCCAAATAGCTCCTGCACTGTGAAGAAATTTTTAGCTTCTACACACAGTCTTCATTACATCAGAAGAAACTGTTGATAGAAAAATATCCAGGCTCTATCCTTTTACTGTGTTTCAAAGGTAATAAGTTGTACACTGTCAATGTCCCTATTGAGAGTGATTGCTCTAACTATGTAGCATCTTTCTTCACTAGAAGAGGGATAAAATGACTATCGAACAAGTACACTTTTATAGGAACCCATAAAGTGAGCTTTATGTGACTAAACCAACCATGGTTTAAGGCTTCAAAAATGTTAAACAGAGATGTTAACCTAGCGGCCCAAGAACAATATTTTCTTTCCTGCAAAAGTGTAAATTCATGTAGTAAATATGTCTTACTTTATAGTGCTGGAGGGAATAGATAGATCTATTTCATGGAGTATGTATCATAGATTCAGGAAATCAAACATGCACTACCTTAAAGTACATTGGAAAAATAAATAACACACAGTGAAAAAATTTAAAATGTTGGCAGGAATAGCACAGAGCTTGTGGTATTAAACTCAGAATGTAAATATATAAGAATCTAAGGCAACAGAAACACCCTATATTTTGAAACTAAAATATATGTGATCATTGTAATCCGATTATGTCTAACGTTTTATTAGTCCAAGGAACATTGAACTTCAGGCATCAGTTGAGAGAATCAGGAGCTTGTCCGGAGAGAAAAAAAAAAAGACATTTAATTCTGTCACAAGAGAGTAAAATGGCAAGATATTTGTGATCTTTCACTACAGTACTACAAAAAATAAAAGTGTTTAAGTGCTACATGTGAAAAAGAACTCTGGGAATCTGGCACTCTTTCCTCTAGAGAGAAAACAAATTGTTTGAAAATCTAGTAAAGGAGTAGTAGAAAAATTATAATAGAAAAAGCATCAACACCTACAGTAACAATTTATCCTGTCTAAAGGGGACAGTCTTGGCTATGTTCTCACGAGATTCAGTGCTAAATGTACATCTTCTATGGAGAGCCGCAGATGTTCCTGGGATGTTCCAGCCTACGAAAATAAGCCATTTGAAGGAGGAGTGACAGATCCTCTTAAGTAAATGAGATTTAAAGACTGAAAACCAGCAAGCAAGCATTATCTTTATTATCTCAGTACTCTTGCCCTAAATGTTAATAGAATGTAGAACATAACATTCTAATCCTGCAACACCTTTTCTCAGGAGAAACCAAGGAGATTAATTAATATACTTACTGCAAAAAGCCAAATCTATCTGTGACCTTGTAAACAAGATAATCGGCATCCTCCCAAGGTTCGATCTTTGCACCTTCTCGGCCCTAATGTTAAAAAAAACCAAATAAGGAACATTTGAACACAGCTGGTCTGCTTCCCATTTGCTAAAGGCAGTTTAGAACCATTTAAAGTTTATCCCTATAAAAGCAACATAACATATAAACTGCTAAATAAAGTGTGACCATTCAGGATAATGAACAATATATTACACTTTCCATCCTAAAACATTGTTTTTGCCACAGCTCCCCAAATCCAAAAGGAGTTAAAATAAAAAATACATAAAAACTGTGGGGGAGTTGAAGGTAGACTTCTATTTTCACAAAGACCCTTTTCTGAATTGACCCTTGTAAAATACTTTGTATTAAAAGGGGTATAGATTCCAGAGATAGAGACATAATCCTGCCCCTGTACAAAGCATTAGTAAGACCTCATCTGGAATATAAAGTTCAGTTTTGGGCACCAGTTCACAAAAAGGATGTTGTAGAACTGTAGAAAGTGCAGAGAAGAGCAACTAAACTGATAAGAGGCATGGGGGAGCTCAGCTATGAGGAAAGATTAACTGACCTGAATTTGTTCTCTCTGGAGAAGAGGTGATTAAGAGGGGACATGATCACCATGTATAAATACATAAATGGTCCATATAGTGAGCTTGGTGCCAAATTATTCACTTTAAGGTCACTGCAAAGGGCAAGGGGGCACTCTTTGTGTCAGGAGGAAAAGAGGTTTAAACTTTGCATACGTAAAGGATTCTTCACAGTTAGAGCTATGAAATGTGGAATAGTTAACTGTTTAAAAAAAAAATCTGGATGTATTCCTAAATGCACAGAATATTACTGGATATTGAGTTCTTATAGGTATATTAGGCATCAGAGATTGTTGATCCAGGGAATATCCGATTGCCTTATGGGATCAGGAAGGAATTTGTTTCCCCTGTTGGAGCAAATTGAACAATGCTTTATA